GGGGCGCGGATTGGCTGCCCCAGCTCCCGCCAGAAATGAAGCGAGGCGGCCTGATTGGCTGGTGCAGGGGAAGGAGCTGTGGTGCGAAGCATGGACGTCTGGGTTCCGTGAGCGGGAGCTAGCGCTTAGAGCGGGCCAGTGGAAGCGGAAGGCGGCCGGAATCCGGACGCCTGGACCCCCTCCCTGTTCTTGTTGGCGGGGAGCCAGGGCGCCTGTGTTCTGTGGGAAGGGGGCGGGGGGTGCTGGGAGCCCCGACGCCTGGGTTCTCTCCCAGCTTGTGGAGGTCCATGTGGAGCCCTTCTAGGCCACCGGGGCTGCCCCGCTCGCACTGGGGGCCCGGGCTCCAGGCCCCATGCTCTCCGGGGGTAGGAGTGGGGAGTCCCCGCCCTGAAGTTCCCCCGGGGTCCGCGCTGCCTAGTGGCAAGCGGCCGCAGAGGCGGGGACTGATGCCTGGGTTCACCCTACCTCCCCCTTCCCCGGATTTAGCCTGGGCCTGCAAGGGTTAACGCTGACCCAGGGGAGGGGGTACACCTCTCCCTCCCCGTCCGGAGAGCCAGGGCCCCTCACTCCCGATCACAGCCCCCGCTGTGCACAGCTGTGTCCTTGGCCTTGGTTCATGGGAGGAGGGGCATTAACCCCCCAGAGCTCTGAGCCCGTGTGTCCTGGGGCACCGGGATGAGCGGCCCCCAGCCGCTGCGTCCGAGTGCCACGGAGGGGCCCGTGGCCCACCCCAGAGGTGGATGCTCCTGTGAGGCTCCGCCCCTGCAGGTTTCTGTAGAAGCAGGATGTGGGCGCTGGGGTTATGCCCCCCCCACCTGACGCCTGGGTTCCGCTCCCAGCTCTGCGGCAGGAGTGAGGTCGAAGTTTGAGTGTTGTGAGGGGGAGTTGGTTGAGGAGGGCAGGACTCCTGAATTCTTCCCCCAACTCACTGCTGTCAATGCAGGCAGCCTTGTCCCTTACCAGTCCTTCTGCCTCAGTTTCCCCCTAGCCCAAATGGGCATATTGAGGAGCCTCTTGGCAGTCCAGGCAGGAACCACCCCTGCTGACTCTGCCCTGCCCCTTGTTCCCAGGTCTCCCACCCAGGGACCAACCAGGCCTGAGCTTGCTTTGCAGAAACTCTCTCTCTCCCCACCACCGCAACCCCATCACAGGGCAGTGGCTGGCTACGTAGGCGCAGGCCTGGTGAGGCCCTGGATGGGACACCTGGGAGCCAGGTGGGGCTGTGGTGAGCTTCCTTCCCTTTCCCCCACCCGCTCTGGAAGGGGTGGGGAGCAGGGAGCTGTGGGTGGCAGTGCAGTGCGAGGGGGTTGGGAGCCCTCTGGGAGGGCTGTAGGGAGAGGTCACCAGTCCCTACTTCCCCCATGACCCAGAGCTGGGAGAGGACCCAGGCATCCGGTCGGGCTGCCGCAGTAACCCGGTCACCCCCTGGCAATGTGTGGCAGATACTGTCGATCTATGCCCGTAGCTGCATGTCCGGATCAGATAGAGATATGATATGCCAGGACCTGGAGGCCGGCTGTGGCCTCCCCCTGGCCCCGGTGGAGCAGCACCCTGGCCACAGCACCCTGTCCTGCCCCACCCTAGAACCCGGACGCTCGGGTTCCCTCCGACTCCGGGTGGGCAGCGGGTCCGGGCGAGTTGCCTGGGTCCCACCTGGGGGCGCCCCGCCAAGGCCTTGCCCCTCCCCCGTGTTGCACGGTCTATATTTAGTCCCCCGCCCACCTCTGTCGGCCTGGGCCGAGGCCAGCTGGGCTAACAGCTCCGGGCGGGTCTCAGCCCAGCCCCCGGCCCGGCACTAGAGCTCCTCTACTCCCAGGCGTCCGGACTTCCTAGCACCAGTCCGGTGGGGGCACGGGCAGGACGCCTGGATTCTGTCCTCTGCACCTCCAGGTCCCAGCAGCGCCTTGTCTTGCCCCGCGGGGTAAATCTACCCCACCCGTCACAGCAGAGGCCCCGCCCCGCCCCGGTCCCAGCCCGCGCCCGGCGCTGCCCCGTATTACTCGCTCAGTGTGTCCGAGAGATCGCGCCGCTGAGCCGGCATGGACCGCGCCCGCCGCCTGCTGCTCCTCGGTGAGACCCGAC